TGTTCTCTTTTTAGAAGTTTCTTACTTGCAAAACAAATAGGGAACTTTTCCCCTTCCACTTCTTGCATGAGTACAGCACCTAGACCTTTATCGGATGCATCAGTACGAACTACATATGTCTTATCTGTATCTGGCAGGTGTAAAATCGGCAGGTGTAAAATTGAACGCCAACTCTTGTGGTTCTCCCTATTCAACATTATTTGACTTCCCGTGCTTTGTCAAATCTGCCAGAGGTGCGGCAATGGCCAAGAAATTTGGTATGAATTTTTGGTAGTACCCTACCAAACCCCAAAATGACCTGACCTCCTTTTTTGTGCGGGGTCTCTGTGTGGCCAAAATTGCGTCAACCTTTCTCGGGACTGGTTTAATTAACCCTTTACTCACAACATGCCCCAAGAACTCAAGTGACTTATATACAACTTAACATTTGCTTGGTCTTGCAGTGAGACCCTCTCCACGGAGCCTCTCTAGAACTTTGCCAACTACCTCAATGTGTTGCCCGGATGTGTCTGTGAAAATTGATATGTCATCGATATAGATAACCACATGATCTATACCATCAAGTAATCTACGCATCATACGACTGAATACGGCTGGTGCATTAACTAACCCGAATGGTAATACGGTAAACTGAAATAATCCTCCTTCTGAAGTAACAAAGGTTGTTTTCTCTCTATCTTCTTTTGTGACGGGGATCTGTCAATAGCCCTTAGATAGGTCTAGTTTAGTGAAAAATTTTCCACCTGAAATTTGAACAAGCAAATCCTCAACATTCGGAATAGGTTCTGGATCGAAAACTGTTATTGCATTCAATTTTCTGTAATCGATACAGAATCTCACCTTGCCATCTGGTCTATGAACTAATACAATTGGTGACGCATAAGCCGATTCCGACTTTTCTATGACCCCCATTCTCAACATGGCATCAATTTCTTGCTTAACTGTGTCCCTAACTGCATGTGGTACTTGATAAGCTTTGGATTTTACTGGATCTGTGGTGGTCAGTTTTACCTTGAACTCGATTAATTCTGTTTTACCTGGTAAATCAGTCAAAACATCCCCAAATTCACTCAACAGCTCTTGAATTTTGGCAGATTCAGTTTCACTCTCTGTTTGACCAATGTGAACATCTTGAACAGTTTCAGTTTGTTCGACTGATGGTAGCTCACTATTTACCACGTCATCAACATCATCTTAAAACTCTACAATTCCTGCACCTAACAGTTGTAAACATGAACCTGCAGATACCCTGTCTTATGTATTTTCCCTTCTGACATACTTTCTCAACAAATTGGCATGATATATTTTTGTCTTGCCATTTTGGTCTATTCGATAGTCGTGTTTGCCTACTTTACTTGTCACTCCGAAAGGACCTTTCCACTGTAACAACAATTTATTTGAGTCTGTATGGGTAATAGTACAAGAACTTGGTCTCCCTCTACAAATTTCCTATATCTGGTTCTGGTATCATAGTATTTCTTATACCTCCCTGATGCTTTTGACAATTCTTCCTGTGCCATTTGACAGGTATTCAAGCCCATTTCTGAGATCAATGACATACTCGTATGTCGTTTTGATTTCTTCTTCACTGGTAGTGTTTGTCCATAATTCCCGCAAAATTTCCAAACGGCCTCTGACCGTACGCCCGTACAGTAGCTCAAATGGCGAGAAAACTAAGCTTTCCTGCGGCACTTCACGATAAGCAAACAATAACGCAGGCAGGTACCTGTCCCAATCTTTGGGGCGTTCTGCGCACATTCTGCGAAGCATTCTTTTCATTGTGCCGTTAAAGCGCTCGACGAGCCCATTGCACATAGGATGATATGGGGTAGTATGCAACTGATTGATTGAAAGCAAGCGCCCCACTTCCTGCATTACTTCAGAGGTGAACCGAGTCCCTAAGTCGGTAAGTATTTCCTGTGGAACTCCTACCCTAGTGAAAACGGTAAGAAGTGCCTAAGCTACCCTCTCTGATTCTATTCTAGGCAATGCTATAGCTTCGGGGTATCTGGTCGCATAATCTACAATTGTCAGAATGTAACGATTTCCCTGATCTGTAACTGGATGGATGGGGCCTACGATATCTACTGCTACCCTACGAAAAGGAGTATCTATGAGAGGCATTTTGTCTAAGGAAACCTTTCCTACTCTACCCTTCGGGACTGTACGCTGACATATGTCGCACGAAGCACAGTATCTCCTGACATCGCCGTGTAGGCCTCGTGCGCTAACGAATCGTGCGCTAACTTAAGTACCTTGTCTCTGAATATCTTAGGCACAACTAACTGTCTAAACAATCGACCCTTCTCTATCTTTGGCGACTTAAACTCTCTGTAATACAGGTTTCTGTTCTTCACAAATCTGGTCTCGTTTGCACTACCTGTAATACGTACAGAACCTGTCTCAGCAAGATTTCTTACTTTCTCTAAAGTTGCATCTGTTATCTGCTCCTTAGCAAATTCATCTGTACTAGCAACATTTTCCTTAGTAGGGACCTTAAGGCATGGAAACGGTTTTTCCTGTTTAGCCTTCTGACTACGAGTCTGTACTGCTCCTACTGTATCCTCTACTGTATCTTGACGAGCTAACTCATCCTTCATTACTGGCAACTACCACAATGGATCCGGATTGTCCTGTTCTCTTACTCCTGCTATGTTGCCTAGGACTAACCCATGCAACGGACTCTCCATACACAAAGCCTCAACAGTGCCCTTAAAATAAGGTGAATCTACTTCAATCCTAGCTACTGGATAGTTACGCACAGTACCATCCAATAGAACACAATGGCTCTGCGATCCTAACATTTGATCCTCATTAACCAAACTTTTCCTAATTACTGTTGTGCTACAACCTGCATCTCGTAACACATCTACTTCGTGAGAGCCTACAATTCCTTTCACTACCGGTGTAGCGTGAATTTACGTTTCTATGAAATTCGGACTCATTGGTAATACCGCGCATGCGTAAGTATGGTAATTAGGTAAGTGACCGGTCACGTAAGAGGGATTAACCAATTATAGGGAAAAGGGGTCCGATTTTCATAGGAGACGGATTTTCATGTGACACCGGCATTCCACTTCCTACAGTACATGCCGTACTAACCATTGGCAGCTCATGCCCGCACGCCAATTTAACAGTTTTCCATATCTTACCTAGCAAGGAAAACGGTGACTCTAGTTTCAAATATGCACCTAAGGGCTGAGATACTGGAGGACCTACCTCCTTTCCTACATCTCTACTTTCCTTGACTACCTCTAAACTTGCTACTTTATTCCTTGGCGACTGCTGTGTGTTTTCCCGAGGGTGTTTCCTACAATATTTAGCTATGTGTCCCCTCATGCCACAGTTGAAACACTTTGGTCTATCCTGGGAACGATTATCGATTGATTTGTCCTGACTAGCCTGCTTAGCTACATTACGCTCGCTTGTTTTATTCCTTGAACCATCTGATACCTTTCTTTCATGTTTAATTTTATCAGAGAGAGAATGGTGTGTGAGCAAGCATATACTGGTCTGCAAGTTTCGTGAGTTCTTTACTGCTTTGTGGCCTACGCTCTCTTAGAAATACTGCCAAGTCCTTGGGGCAACCTGCAATGACCTGTTCCCTAACAGTCAGGTCAACAAGACCTTGGTAATCCTTTTTCACCTCGGCTAATTCAACCCATCTTGTATGGTAGTCCTTAAAGAGGTTGTGGAATGCTCGAAGATATTTCCGTCATTTTTCGGGTATTTGTAGCCCAAGGTGTGATGAAATAAAAACGACTATTGTTTCTGTCATAAAATGAGTACAAAAGGTACTTTTAAGAGCTGTTTTTCAAGACCTGTCATGCCTGTTTCGACCCGAACGTGCAATTTGGGTAAAAGTCGTTGTTGTGGGCAGCAAACAAAACACAGTAAATCGTGACGTAATAAACAGGACTCCCGATGCAGAGTAGCATAAGCGAGTCCTGTTTATTACGTCACGGTTTACTGTGTTTTGTTTGCTGCCCGCAACGACGACTTTTACACAAATTGCACGTTCGGGTCGAAACAGGACCTGAAAAACAGCTCTCAAAAGTACCCTTTGTACTCATTTCATGACAGAAACAATGGTCGTTTTTATTTCATCACACCTTAGGCTACATATACCCCAAAAATGACGGAAATGTCTTCGAGCATTCCACAACCTCTTTAAGCCTATCTGCGAATTGGGAATATGTCTCGCCTACTTCTGGCCTGGCTGTTTTGAACTTCTCTCGAAACCCATCCTCAGTTAGCCTATATCTTTTGAGAAGCGCTAACTTCAACTGTTGGTAATCATTGGCCTGATCATCAGGTAACCTAGTACATGTATAAACATCTAAGGCTCTACCTGTTAGTAATGTACTAAGTGATATTGCCCAATCAGCTTGGGACCATTCTACTGAAGTGGCGTATCTCTCAAAACGTCTAATGTACGAATCTAAATCGTCTTGCCTATCCCTAAACCTAGGTAACTTCGGTGACTTAATATTGCGAAAGAGACTCGACGCTCTTGAATTATTTACATTTGAGTTGCTGTGTGCGTTCTTTTCTGCTATTCTGAGTTCCAGTTCTTTCAACTCTCTAGCATGCTCGCGTTCCTGCTGACGCTCAGCGCGCACTGTTATATCTTCATTCTTTTTGTTTACTTTTTCCTCGCGCTCTTGAGCAAACTTGAGAAGGTATTGGCCCTCTAACCCTAGGTCCTTTCCAGTTTTCAAAAAAAAATTCAAATTGTTCCATGATGAAAGTGCATCAAGTAGGTGAGTGAAGTACTACGCTTCCAATACCCTACAGACAATCCTTCATCACCTGTCCGAGATCGTCTAACCACAGAGTCGTGACCAATAGTACCGAAATCTTTAAGGAAAAAATTTCCCGGACAATCCCCCAATGTCACAAGATCCCCCTCAACCAGGAGGACCCCGGAATGGTACTTTAGATCAAACTCTGATGGTAAAGATTCAACTCAGACGAAATGAAAGAAGGACAAATCTGGATATAATTTCAAGATTAATTTAATTCACAATATCACCAATATTAACATACACTTAAATTTCATCCTACAAAGAAACTAAATAAATACATCATTATTAATACATTACAAAACAATCAACGAAAGTGGGCCCAAATCAACGGTCCGTGTGAAGTGTTCGGGTTGGTGTGGTTGTGGGTGTGGTGCACCGGTGCCTGCCCTGGTAGTACCGTCTGTGTCCGTAGAGTCCTCTGCCCACGTGTGACCTTGCCGACAATCCTGCTGGTATGGTCGACTTGAGTTCGGCCCGCCGAGGATGTCTATCTCACTGTGCGGAGTTCCCAAAACCAGACGTTACGTCCCAAAAACCCTGGTTTAGAATTAAGTACAAGTTGTCACCATGCATCTCTCTTACACAAGATTATTACATGCAACATCCATAGCAGTTTAAGCTCATTTAACATAGCATTAAATGCAATGTACATTTTATACACAAAACCCAAACAATGTGTTATTGCCAAGGCACATTTCCAATGTTTTACAACAGTTATACATATACAAATTTTCACTTTTTAAATTCAGATTGAAAATTGTAATGCAATAATACAGGTTATGGCGAATAACCTGGTCTACATTTTATTGACTTTGACGAGGACACGAGGACGGCCGCAGCCTACCGACTCTGTGGGACTCATTCCCAACGGCGCAAATAATTGCAAACTCAGTTCACTAGGAACCTACAACTCCCCAATGTGGGTACACATGAGCATAACATGCCCTGACGTAGTGTCGGTCCTGGTCTCGCCTACAAGTGCCTAGCCAACGCCCCAATCTGGATTTTATACCCAAGACTGATGGTCTAAAAGTATTTCAAAACCTCAGAACATGTCAAGTTAATCTACTGACAGGCACGGACTGCTCAGTTAAATCCCACCATTGTTAAATACTTATAGGATTTACAGCTTATACATTGTAATGCTAAAGTGTTCAACTGGAGTCAAGTCATGATAAGATTACCCCAATTCCAACTTCGTGGACTTCTAATACATCAAAAAATTAGGTTGGGTCTTTCCCTTAATATTATCACACACAAAGGTTTCAGAGTATGTGGATTAGGTTGAGGTCTCTCCCGTAATACAATCACAAAAAGTTTCAAAGTATATATATATCAATTAGGTTGGGGTCGCTTCCCCATAATACAATCACAAAAAGAAAAAGTTATACAGTATAATTCTGGAAATAAAATATTCACAAGACCTTTTAAAATCAACTTGTGACAGACACCTGCAAATTAATCCGACTCAAAATTTAGCCTGAGCCTTTTACGTCTCCCCTTAAACGCGTTAAAACGTTATAAACTATTGCAAACAAGCGTTTACATTGTGTTAAATAGTTAAACAACCAGTGTTACAGTGTACTGATACACGGTTTCTCAATATTTAGATCATAACAGAACTGATCTTTGATAGCAAAACTAACAAACTCATCACAGATTACTTCTTATACCATCTCGCGTTCACCTGTTCCATTAAGAGCGCCACCAGCGACAGGGCCCACACACATCCCAATGAAACAAAGGCCAAATCGTAACTTCCGGTCTCGTCGTAAATCCAACCTAAAAAAAAGAGCGAAAATACAGTAGTAACTGCCATTCATACAACCAAAATTAAAACTTAAAACTTCCAATGGACTATGATATGCGCGCAAGAAGTCTGCCGAATATACGGATTGCTGACTTATCTGCGCTAGAAGCCTAATAAGCAGACCAGTTATTTTTTGTTTTGATAGCTTTATGGAGGGTAGAAATATTGGGATTAAAGTCCGAATTGCATACCTTGTGGAGCGAATTCATCAAAACAATTGACATAATGGAACGGACCGTTATGAGTGGCAAAACCAGGGGAATGATAAAAGGACCAAGAACTTCAACATTTCCAGTACCAATTATTTTGTACAAAAAGAATGCGTCTTTTAAGGTATGATAAATTTCAGTAAACAGTTGGGTACACGTACAAGTTATTTCCGGTTTGATGGCGTCATCAGTCAAAACAGGGAAGGGAGGACACTTGTTTATCATTAAGTAAAAATAACGCATGGAAATATGGAAATTAAGTGTATGTAATAATAACAGCTAACTTCCAGTTTGATGACGTCACAGTATTTGGAAGCAAAAGGTCAAAATTAAGTGTAACAGATGTCATTTTTGGGGGCAAAAAACAAAGTCATGAGATAGGGATCAAATGATGGATTTAAATTAAAAAATAAAATGGTCATTGTTGAATTCTCCCTACAGTTACTTCTGGTCTGATGACGTCATGATTATGAAACCGTACAAATTCATTTGTGGTTGCTCACGGGATATATAAGGGCAATATATCATACAAATTTGATTGAGGGTTTTAACATTTTAAAAGATTAAACTGTTTTCTATGTGCCGCTGGAGGGCGCCCTTTCGTGGATGACGTCAAAATAATGTTTTTCTGATTGGCATTCCTCACTTAACACTGCCATAATGTATTTGTCTGTAGTAAAATGCTTCCGTTTTAGAGTTAGATTCAGTTTCTATTGCACTTCCGATAACACCGGAAGTAAAGGTCAAGCAGGTTTGTGCCCGGGAATAAGAAATGTTGCTCAAGGCACCGTCTACAAGCTCACGAAAAAGCGAACACGATACTCTATTTAGTTCAAGAGATATAGGTCAAAGTATTTTGTCAAATCGTGCAATCAAATCGCTTGTAATTTGATACCTGATGACGTCATGATAACGTAACAACAGTTATAACATCTTCGTAACATGGTACATGTTTACACTAGGTTTTATGATCATACCGTAAACCGTTTGGAAGAAATTGTGCTTTGTTTCGATTTCAGGCCAATGTCTTCATTTTGAATTCACCTAAATTTGACCTTCCGGTAGACCCAGAAGTAAAGGTAAAGCGAGTTTACGTACACGACAAAAAATGTTTATGAATTCATGGTCTATCTGAATACAAGGTTGGAGCATAATTGATCATTTTGTTGAAGAGTTATAGATCAAAGGAGATCGTCATTTTTTCAACGAAAATCGCTTGTAATTTGACACCCAATGACGTCATAATGACGTCAGTGTAATATGCGCCACTCGGAATGAGGGTCAATATATGTTAAAAGTTACAAGTTCATATCATATACCGTTTAGGAGAAAACCCGCGGAAACGTGCTATGCAGAAAAAAAAGAAAGAAAGAAAGAAAGAAACAAAGATTAATCGCAACAAATCCAAAGAGTGGTCGGGTTGTGCCCGACCACTCAACTAGAGTTTCGCGTTTGTTGAGTTACAAACGCAGAGTGGTCGGGCGGACAGCCTTTTCATTATACACTGCCCAGGAATAAATGTTTATGTAGAAAAAAGGATCACGAAATTAAATCCCTTCAAGTACAATCAATGTTTCAAAAAGGTATCTTTAACGGTGTGATAAATTTCAGTAAACATTCTATGTGCACAAAAAAGTTATTTCTGGTTTGATGACGTCATCAGTCAAAAACGGTTAGTGAATTCTGATAAAGTTCGGAGAGAATAATTTTTCATTGTAAAGTTAACATAACGTATAAAAATATGGAATATATAATTGTTTGTATGAATAACACCTTACTTCCGGTTTGATGACGTTTTGATAACACCTAACTTTCGGTTTGATGACGTCACAGCATTAGAGATCCAAAGGTGAACATTGTAATGGATGTTATTATTTAGACTCCGAAGATATGACAGGGATCAAATGATAGAATTAAATTAAAACTTTGATCCTTTTCAAATTCTCCTTAAAGTAACTTCCGGTCTAATGACGTCATGAATTTGAAACCTTGCCATGTTATCTGTGGTTAATCAGAGAATATCAAGGGGCGATTTGGTAAAATTTGGACGGATATATGGTTTGAAAATTAAAGAAAGCAAACAATAGTGTATGTGCCGATAGGGGGCGCCCTTTCGGATGTTGACGTCATCACACTGTTTTTTTTTCGTCTTGCATTCCTCACTAAACACTTTCATAATGTAGTAAAAATAATTCCGCTTTTGAGTTATATTCAGTTTTTATTGCACTTCCGGTAACACCGGAAGTAAAGGTCAAGCGGTTTTGCGTCTGGGAACACGAAATGTTTCTCACGGCATAGTCTACAACCTCACGAAGAAACGAACACGATACTCTATTCAGTTCAAAAGATATAACGCAAACTATTTTGTCAAAATTTGCCCTTAAATCGTTTGTAATTTGATACCTGATGACGTCATGATGACGTAACAAAATTTATAACATCTTCGTAACATGGTACAAGTTCACACTAGGTTTTGTGATCATACCATGAACCGTTCGGAAGAAATGTTGCTTTGTTTTGATGTCAGGCTAAAGTCTTCATTTTGAATTCACGTAGCTTTGACCTTCCGGTAGACCCGGAAGTAAAGGTCAAGCGAGTTCACGTACACGACAAACACTGTTAAGCGATTAATGGTCTATCTGATGACAGAATACAAACATCATTGAAAGTTTAGTTCAAGAGTTATAGGTGAAAGTAATTGGTCTTTTTCAGATAAAATCACTTGTAATTTGACACCCGATGACGTAATCATGACGTCAGAGTAATATGCACCACTTCGGATGAGGATCGATATATATTGAAAGTTACAAGTTCATACCATATACCGTTTAAGAGAAAACCCGCGGAAACGTGCCGTACGGAAAAAAAAAGAAAGATTAATCGGAACAATTCTAGACAGTGGTCGGGTTGTGCCCGACCACTCAAAGAAAGAAAGAAAGATTAATCGTAACAGATCCAAAGAGTGGTCGGGTTGTGCCCGACCACTCAAAGAAAGAAAGATTAATCGTAACAGATCCAAAGAGTGGTCGGGTTGTGCCCGACCACTCAAAAAGGGGGGGGGGAGAAGAAGAAACAAAGGAAAAGGAGTCGTGAAAGTACAAGTACTCGTACTCGGAGACCTGTACCTGTACTCGGAAGTATAAGTACAGGTCTCCGAGTAAGATGTACTCGGTAACCTATGTTCTCGGCAGTACTCGGTACTCGGAAAACTCGACTACAACATTGATGAACTGCGCTTAGCTTACCTGGATAGAATCCAAAACCTAAGCTGACAAGCGCCGATATAACTTCCATCCAACTGAAAGCGCTGATCAGGAGATCCACGCCCAGAAGTTCCCTTGTGAAGATGTCAATGAGTGAACCAATGGCACCACACGAACCATAGAAGACAACAGCATTTGTTAACGTCATCCAGTATGACGTCACCCACGGCACGATGACGAAACTCACACAGCTCATGACGATCACCGCTGCCATTGCCGGTCGCAGTTTTAACAGACCCCGGTCCACGACAACGCCTAGGACGAGTTTGAAGACGATGTTGCCGATGCCGGCAGCGGTGACAAACGTAACGGCTTCCTGGGGGGAGAAACCCTTGGCCTCTGCCTGGGGGACGAAATACACCAGCCACTGGTCGGAAACAAAGCGAATACAGACTTCCAGTAGGGTGGCGATCCAAAAGGAGAACTTCAAGAACACCGAGAAACCGAAATGTTCAGTCTGTGCTGTGAGGGCGTCCTTGAAAGCGCGCAATCGTGATTTCTCTTTGGCAATGTTGTTAGGAGATGAGTCATCGAGATCATCGTCTTCACGAAGCGTCTCATACTGGTTACTTTTCTCGCTGCCCCTTGATCTCTGCCTGAAGAGGGCGCCACAGGCAGATAGGTGCAAACTCATGGCACCGAGGAGCATCATGGCGGCTCGCCAGCCGTACGTGTCTAGCAGAAGCTGTGTCAAAGGCGCGATTAGGAGTGTACCCACGGGAAATCCTGACATCGCCAGACCGGTGGCTGTGCCATAGTTGATTGGAAAACACCGTGCGACTGCCGCCCTCATGAGAACACTGGAGCAACTTAGACAAGAAACTGCAAAACACACACAATTTTGAACGTTATTTTACGGGCTAATATGTAGTCTATGTAATAGACCACACTTGACATCCTAGATTTTGTCTAATCAGCGGGCGCTTTCTATATCGGGTCTTCGGTCATTCACCCGTTGGGCATCATAGACAATGGATTAAACAAAATGCATCACGCATTCAGTATCATGTTACGCGATATCGCGCCCGGGCTGTTGTACAAAACACTGCCATAATCGGCTCCCGTTATAACGAGGTCCGATGGACTTTCACAATACTGTCGTTATAGCCGGAACCTCGCTAAAACCGGAGCGCAGTATTCCCCATTCGTTGTGCACAAGGTACGGTACATGTGCGTACATTTTTTTATAGCCACAAGCCAACAATAGGGAGCAATTAAGCACCCGATGTTCGGGCGGTAGTACTAAAGGCTATTCCTTACAATTTCAACACTTAACTCCTGAGCGCCCCCTATTGTTAGTTTGTAATAATCTAGAAAAGTGGTACGGCAGTCGTAAGCAAACTTCAAACCTGGTCACGCTAAAGGAAACCGCAGCGGGGGATTAGCGACTAGACCAGCGGTCCACTGCGCAGATTATCACAGTCCCATTGAATTTATTTGAAAAGATCGGCGAGATGAAATAACGTTGGGTTGAAGTCTTTACAAAGGTACATTGATGGGTGAAGCTTAAGTGTGTTGCTTGAATTGGAAGACGGGAGCATGATACCCGTTTCGGGACAAAAGGTCTGTCGTTGACAAGCTGCAGTACCCGTAGTTTTGAAAAGATATCGTTGTAAATGGGTTGAGAACAATGCTTTTCCTCGCATTGGGTCAGCCAAAATCGTCGTAATAGCCGAAGTCTCCTTATGTCCGTGCACGTAATAACCAAATATTTCCCCATAGTAATGTACACAAATTGATCGGGACTGGGAGAATGTGCTCGTTACATCCGGGTTATCGTTATGACCGAGCTCGTTATAACGGGAGTGTACATTTTGTGGGGTAATTAGCGCCTCTGTGCTCTTATCTGAGATAAAGTAGGTATCCGCTACACTGGGTGGAGCCCAGGACTAACCGACATTATTGCCACTTCACTTCATCTGTCAATCTGTGAAGAGTGGTTATTATTAGTTATGCAACACACAATACGCCGCACACAGACCCTTTATACCCCCGTGGTCAGCATTATGCCCGTGTGAAGCAATTATTAAGATGTTTATCTCAACTTCAAGGTATAGCCTTGGTCAATGCTCTCGTCGTCATTCGTCCTGTACGCGGTCAATCGTCGGCATATATCCTCACGCGCTATGCACATGCATGTAAATATACAGCGCGAACAGCGTCCTCACGCGGCCACTATTTTTATATGCAAATCAGTTGGGGACGATCGAGAGCCTTGGTTCAATCGTCCATGTGAGGTTTTCGGGGTGGTGCTCATTATGTTAATAGCCTTAGCTGACCTTAAATGTCATACTACACCGTACATAATCCATACACGTACACGTTGTGTGGCACCAATGCACAACAACTGTGGTTCCTGTCACGTCCGCAAAAGGCGAATAGCAGCAAATAATTTGATGACGTCCGGATTTACCAAGGTGTGATTGGACACTCGTACATATTAGCCCCGCCTACACTTATCTGTATTCGCATACGAGGTCGTGCGCTAGAAATCCAGCGCAAAATAAAGAAAAACTTAAGCTTTTGCCGACGATTGAACCAAGGCTCGAGATCGTCCCCAACTGATTTGCATAAAAAAAATAGTGGGCGCATGAGGTCGCTGTTTGCGCTGTATTTTTACATGCATGTGCATAGCGCGTGAGTATATATGCCAACGATTGACCGCGTACGGGACGAATAACGACGAGAGCATTGACCAAGGCTACTTGAAGGTACAGCATGCTAGCCCTGCGTTATATACTTCGTTCACAACTAACGACTGGGATTTGATGTATCATTGTCACGTTAGGTTTACTATTTCCTTACAACAAATTGATAAAACAAAATTGATAAGAATTTATCGACAACTTCCTATAATGTGATTTATTGAGGTACTGATATGCCAATGAACATTAAAAGTGTGAAATACAAATACTGTACAAAAAAAATATAAAAAAGGTGTACACGCATGGGTCTAGTATACCCAATCTATAGGTAAAGCATGATACATCAAGCAATCAGTTCAGACCCCGCATGATTAAACTTGTGACAAACTTCAAGCACTGCTGCTGGAACAAACTTTTGCCAGGGGGTGCTGGAATAAAGGACGGACAAAATTAATGCGAAAGCGGAGCGCAAGCCCTTACGTCGTGGCTTTATTTGGCATATAGATGCTCTGTGGTGCAATCTGGGGCGATTCCTGGCCACTTTCATTTGGCTTTTTTAGCAATAGTTTTTTTGAGATTATAAAGACAATTTATTTAAATTTTTGTTTAGAGTATACTGTTGCTCTTAAAACGTTTAACTGTAGTGGAGGACCCTGTATTTTTATCTCCATTTTTTGGTTCCATTTCATTCTGGAAAAAGAATTGTATCATTATGCATGATATCGCATGTAAATATTATTGTTGCAAGGCTGCTTTCTTACATTTAGTAAATTCCTTCGCGTATGTTTTGTTCATTACGGCGTGGGGCCACAGGGCCAGGGGGCGCTTTAGTTCTATCTCACCAAACGATGACATGTAGCTCTCGATATATTTGCAGTGTTATTTGTTTGTTACAGGGAATGGCAAATATAAAAGACTAAAAACCAAATGCACCTTTATGTTTATGCTCGGTAGATAGCAAGTTTGGGGCTAGGTAAGGATTTATCGGTCTACTGAGATTTAATGAGGAAAAACTTGCAGAGGGTAAAACATGAATAGCTTTTTTATGGCAAGGATTTCATTATTGGTCTACTGAGATTTTATGAGGAAAAACTTGCAGAGGGTAAAACATGAATAGCTTTTTTTATTAAAACGAAACTACACTGGAACTGCCGTAAATCAAGACTAGTTTCAATGAAAACCCGTCCCACTCCTATTAGGTTGGGGATGTGTCACGGTGAACCTTTATATTTGTTAATGTTGAGTACAGAATGCTAGCAACGTCAAAGAAACTTTTAAATGAATATTCAAAACACTCTGTAAAAAATAATGACAAATCTCCAAACTATTGGACATTTGTCCAGATTTTATTTTAACATAAACCCTGTGAAGTGTTGCATATTTCCAGAGTGATTCAGTCATCGGATTTCTGATGAAAAGTAAATTAGAGATTACTTTGATCATAGCTCAATGCTTTGATTCATCTTCCCACTATATACTGGGGGAGAAATTCTGTTGACAATTTAAAGCTTATTTTAATCGGCGCTTTTCATAAGGGGCGGATTTAAAATGTTGACAATTTAGAGCTTTATTCCTTTAATTCACTCTTTCAACAAAGGGACGGTGTAGCGTGAATTTAGGTTTCTATGAAAATCGGACTCATTGGTAATACTGCGCATGCGTAAGTATGATAATTAGGAAAGTGACCGGTCACGTGAGAGGGATTAACCAATAAAAGGGAAAAGGAGTCCGATTTTCAAAGGAGTCGGATTTTCATGTGACAACGGATTTCAATTTAACGTTGAGAGCTTACTTTGATATATATTAGGCCAAACAAAAAAGTAAGTCGGTCTCTGGTCAGTAAGGCGCGCGCGTCGAGTTTTATCATGCGCGTCGATCTTTTTTTCTCCAAAATTTTCCGCGGTAGCTCCAACAGCGCCCTCTATTTCCGCCCCTCCTCATTTTTTTTTTACCAAAGAGCACCAAGGAATGGGAAATTGCACCAAGGCAAATGATCGAAAGCACCAAGGCAAACTATGGAGGACACAATAAATTGTCTTTTTGTGTGTGTGACGAAACAGGTTTTAGGGCCATTGCGTTAAAATGTTGATATTCTCTGAACGGATTGAGCAATTTCAGCATTTTTTCATCTAACAATAGCTTATGAAATTGGCTTTCCAGTCATTATTATTTTGGTACTACATATTGTTTTAAATATATAATTTAATTTGTGGGGGTTTGCCTCCGCTTTTTTGTTACTCCCCCATTAATAGCATTTGGTTGGCCAGTTAAAGTGTTCAGACAAGCAAGCGAAAAATAATCCCAAAGTTCATATAATTTCACGTCAAAGTCGTCTCGATCTTGATTATATTTTCCTAGCCAATGCTAACCATGATCGCTATCCTTGCTCAAGGCATCCAAGAATGCATTGTAAATACACAATGTACATGCTATTCTACATGTAGTGCAGAAGTGATTACATAAAAGCATCATAATATGGATGGTCAGACACTGGCGTCCGGTAACACCTATACCGACAACGACCTGCAAGACACTGCTCTTAGCTAGTGGATCAGTTGCAGCTGACCACAGGAAGGCTCATCAGTCTAAACATGCCAACACATCAGGTAATCCGCTGCAGGCACTACATGCTTCATTAGGCTTGAACCTCAGAAACTGAGGTTTCAGAAAATGCATTAGATTGGGCTCAGTTCTGTAATGATTCGAATTGACCAATCAAATCATTTAGTCCTGATTTAGGAATGAAATGACGTCATGATTTAATATAAGTCGACTCCGATTAGCTGGCGTGCAGTTTGCATATTATATCTGCATGTCTAGACAGTATCAGATGTTATACAGGAGACTTGCTCCGTGGATAACGGGTGATACTTTATTCCTCCATGGACTAACCAATATGCTGCCCGACAGGAAATCAAACCGATCTGTTTGTACGTAATTAGAGGCACAAAATGCAAAGCCTTTTGGGAGGGTTAACTTGTTATGAAACATTCGTTGCAGTATAAGTTCGTTGAAGCGAACGGACAGTACATCTTTAAATAAATACGTACCTCCCAATGTCAAAGTCACGGTCATTTGGACAACGCTGGTAGTCAGTGAAGCAACGATCAATGACGTCCCAATCAGGATACCACTGACCATCACAACATAGCGGGTACCAAACAAGGAGTTCACTGGTCCGGAAAAGGGTCCTATACAAAGAAGGGTGGTTATAATGCTATAATGCTATAAAAACCAAGAAAAACAATTATTTTCCTGAAGTCTGGTTCCCTGACTCCATTTAAGAAGAAACAGAGCAGTTTACATATATTGTGGAATTGTAAGGTCAGAGAACCAGTCTAGCTGGCTTGTACCCGTTCATAGGTGTGTAATCGATTGCAAACAAGTGCGATGGTCAACTGGGTCCAGTATTTGAAGAAAAAAAAGCCAGTTTTTTTTCCAACGCTGATCGGCCGATCAGTGTTGGAAATTGATACAAAAAAACAACTTTTCTTGAAAATGACAATATACCAGTTGCCATGATTTTACAGGATGCTTTACACTGTCATTCACTAACAGTCCAGCAAGGTATTTCAAAATGATTTGATAGTTTTGTTTTTTTGATGTTTGCAAATGTTGTATTTTCCCTTTAATTTGCACTAATTAAAAAGCGTTTAAGGGTTCCAGATACACGGCCATCGCTCCCTCAGTCTGGCTGATTACAAAATTGCAACACCTCGTGCAAATTGTCCCCGACTAAATTTAGTGCAAAATATATGGGAGACCCGGAGAGGGCCACATAAAGCTTATACTCGATCGTATTAAACACCATATAAAAGACGTTAAAATTGTGCAACTGCAGGATTCCAGTCAAACCAGTGAGTTTGGCGGTTTTTGAGTCATCATACTTTGAAAAAAAAACTTGTTTTAGTTTTGCCGAAGCGCACGGCTACGGCAACGCGCGCACACGAGACTATTGTTTTATTGGCCTTAGTTAACGACAACGACTAAATACAATTAGTTTTTAATACATGATCGTTTATGTTGGGCATTGTACATCCAGTTGAGGTTGTATATACACAAGTTGTCTGTACGTAAGACTCTCTCAGAAAATATGAACTTAAAACGTTAGCCTTAGCTAGAAACATAGGCCTATACTAGTTTTCTCAAAACTCAAAATCGCTGACAACGACCTTAAAATTTGCCCCGTAAAGAGCACTGTAAAATCGTTCTGAGTTGACTCAGATCAATACTACAGGGTGAGTCAAAAAAGCAGAACCCAAACCCAAAGAAATTTATTTCGTATTTTAAAAAAAATATGTAGGACCTAAAATAATTATGACTGGTAAAGACCCATTTTAATAAACTACTTTTATAGATGAAAAAAATACTGCAATTGCTCAATCCGTTCAAACGAAATGACCCTTAAATCAGTTTCGTCCAAAAACAAAATGATTGTGTGTTCTGACTGTTTGGAACAACAAAGAAAATGACATAGACTACTTGTTCCAACAATTGTAGTACATAATATCTGTATTAACAACCCTACTTTGGCTAACAATATGATTTTTACATCCACTTTTTTTTTTCAGGACGGGCCTTCAAAAGGGCTTTGTTGAATATTTTTAACTTTCAAGTTGAGGTTTTATCGCTGGTAATGCTTGAAGACAATGGTAACGACAATTCCTGCAATCACATTTTTGGACGTAACAGATTTTAAAGTCATTCCGTTTAAATTGTGAAAAAGTTTGAACGGATTGAGCAATTGAAGTATTTTGTTCATCAAGTACCTTATGAAATTGGCTTTACCAGTAGGGAGTCCAGCGAATTTCATTTTTTTAGAGAAAAACAAATCATATTTTGTATCACTGAGAAGAGACTTACACAACAAAATGAATCAGCTTCATAGGTGTCTGCATTTTGGAGATACAACAATTTAAGTGGCCGAATTTGGAGTTTCAATTCTGTAAGATTTACATTATATACTTTTAGCATCTTATATAAATCTTATTTCCCAAACCTATCAAATGTTTGCTATCATAGGAATCCCCATTAAATAAACATAAAATTGATTTCTGAATCAGGTTTTTACCACTCATAACAAAAAAGTTATGATTTTTTCCCCTGGACCTTCGCACTGTCCAGGCGCACACCGAGCAACCTCCACGTTCTGACCATACCCCCTTGTGGGGTGGTGTTCCTTTCAGGACACATCACCCCACTATTTTCACATTAGAAAAACATCACCCCAGAAGAGGATCTTTACAAAGAGGGATAATGGATTGGGAACACAATGTTATCACCCCACAATTCCGTCTGGCTAGACCGGACGATGCGACTAGACACTGTGTTCTACCCCGTTCTACCCCGTCTGGGTTCTCCTCAGTTAACTTTGAACACTGCACTGTTATGCTCAACAACTGTATCCGACTTATCGGAATATATCGTCCGCCTCCATCACGTGCTAATGGACTGAAAACCTCCGAATTTTTGGAGGAGTTTGAGAGATTTCTGGATGAGACGTCCGTTACTCCTCATAAAACTGCATTATTGGGTGATTTCAATGTGCATATTGACTCACCTGATAAATGGGACACCAAAACATTCACTGAGATTATTTCAAATGCAGGCTTCAGCCAACACGTCAAGGGCCCAACTCACAGACATGGTCATACCTTAGACTTGGTCATTTCCCGCGATGATTATGATCTAATCCATGAAGTTCATGTCGACCCTCTGCACCACTCTGATCATAATGTCGTCACATGTACCATGAAGTGTGGCAAACCTCCACCACTGAGGGTCTCAACAACATCCCGCCAGTACGGCAAGCTGGACCATGAGCGCTTGCCAGAGCTACTCCATGATCGGTTTACCGATTTCCCAGACAGCAACAACGATCCCAACAGTCTTGCAGAGTCTTATGCGAAGATAACTTCTACGGTCCTCGACGAAGTTTGTCCCTTGGTCACCAGGGAACGAATTATCAAGCCAAGACTTCCATGGTACAACGACCTCATCCATACTGAAAGGCGTATTCGGCGTCGCCTTGAGCGGAAATGGAAAAAGACCAACTCTGCTGAGGATGAACATGCCCTCCGGGCTCAAAAAGACCACGTAAATAGACTGATCACTGATTCAAAGATGCAGTATTATTCTGCATCCACGGCATCCTTCTACAGAGACTCCAGAGCCAATTTGGAATAAAAGGAACTGTTGAGTCTTGGTTCAGCACATACCTAAAAGACCGCACGGCTAAGGTTTCCATCAAAGGAGATTTGTCTGAAGAGCACATTTTCACCTACTCCATACCCCAGGGATCCGTAGTAGGTCCGTTGGGATTCATTATGTACACCAGTCCCATCGGTGAGATCATTCGTAGGCAAGGCATTTCATTTCATGAATATGCAGATGATATCCAGCTTTATGCTGAGTTTGACCCTAAATCTGAAGGCGACTGTCATCAGGTACTTGGCAATTTATCATCTTGCGTTTTCATGATCAATGAATGGATGTCTCAAAACATGCTGAAGCTTAACCAAGACAAGACTGAGTTCATTGTTTTCGCCAGTAATTATGTGGTTGCTAGTGTCCCTGATCTCCAATTAGAATTGGGAGACTTATCCATTCCAGCTTCCACATCCATTAAGGATTTAGGAGTCACACTAGATTCGTCTTTGACAATGTCTCATCACGTTGGCTCTCTGTGTAAAACTATTAATTTCCACATCCGCAACCTGTGGCGTATTCGCCGGTTTATTACACAGGATGCAGTGTTGGAGCAAAGGCTTTGACCCTCAAGGCCAAGGCCAAGGCCAAGGCTTTGACCCTCAAGCCTCGAGGCCAAGGCCAAGGCTTAACCCCCAAGGCCAAGGCCGAGGCCAAGGCCCTGTTTTATGAAATGACCACATATAGAACTAATTATAGTCACATGAGTGACACATCATCACGCAAGGGCGGATCCAGAACACAATTTGGGGGGTGGGGGGGGGGGGGAAATAAATTTTGGTCCCCCCCCCAAAAAAAAGGGGGATCAAAAAATTACGGCTTAGACTTCGGGGCCCGCTTAAGGGCCCCGAAATTTTTTTGGATTCGAGATGCTCTGTGGTGCGATCTGAGGCAATTTCTGACCATTTTAACCCATGTTTTTTCAGGAAAAGATGGTGGTGTACTCATTGCCTGCCTTCATTACGACGTCACATAAAAAAATGGTTTCGTGGTTTTTTTTTGGGGGGGGGGGCATTTATTTCCTGGCCCAACATGGTCAGAAATATCAGCATTTTCTAAAATAGATACATGCAAATCTTTAGCACTTATCAGGGAGACATATACAACTAATCAGATCTATTCCATAGTAATATGCAATTAAAGTGATCATCTCATTAGCCCCACAAGTGTACGGAATATTTTTGCAGCAAAACTACTACAATGGTAACAAAATGTGATGCTACAAAAGTGGAAGTGTGCCCAACACACAAATCTATAGGGTGCTTCCCTCCTCCATGGTAATACGATTAAAATGGTAACAGCAAAATTTCGAACAGATTTATCTGGAAAATGCAAAAATCTATGGGCCTTGAAAGTTGAAGAGCCTTGGCTCAAAATTGCAAGGCCCTGAACGCTCAAGGCCAAGGCTAAGGCCAAGGCTTTTGCCCTCAAGCCTCGAGGCCAAGGCCAAGGCCCTAAAATCCAGCCTTAAGGCAGCCTTAAGGCCAAGGCCCAGCATCAAGGCACTACATCACTGACAGGATGCCTGCCATCACGCCGTCAGAAGTCTGGTCCTGTCCCGTCTTGATTATGCGAACTCTCTTTTGCTAGGTGCTCTTGAGAAAGATCTTAAACGGTTACAGCGCCTACAAAACAAGGCTGCTCGGCTGGTCTTCGCATGCAGCCGGGACCAGCCATCTGAGGGCCTGCTGGCAGAGCTACATTGGCTACCTGTTAAACAGAGGATGACCTTCAAAATCTGCACCCTTGTATACAAAATTCTCAACACTCAAGCTCCATCATATCTGGTTGACCTATTACATTCACATCACTCAAATATTCCTGACTCTTACAGACAGCGACTCCGCTCATCATCCGATCAGACCCGACTTTCTGTCCCTAGAAGTAGGAAGAAGGCCGGAGATAGCTCTTTCGTTGTGGCCGCCCCTCGCGTGTGGAATGAGCTTCCTTCTTGTCTGAGAGAGGCGGTCTCGCTGCCTGTATTCAAACGTCTCCTAAAGACACATCTGTTCCAAGTCCATTCGTAATCGTATTGTGTCTGTTTTTCTTTCCTGTTATTTTTTGTTGTGGATGAGTGTTAAGCGCTTTGTTCTTTGTAAAGTGCTATATAAATACTTCGTATTATTATTAGACAATAAGCCTTTTCGGAGTTCCAACTGCGCATTCATAACCTGTGACAACGCGCATTATTTGTCTCAAATGGCTTTTGACATCATCGCGCCACTGACTTTACAACTGACTTCATCGCGCCACTTACTTTACAAAAAGGCTGTTCATGCATTGTGGGTACTGTCAAAGGGCATTTGAGACAAACAATGTGCGTTGTCACAGGTTACGAATGCGCGCAGTTAAAACTCCGAAAAGGCTTATGCCAGATGACCCGCCGGCGTTACGCACGGGCAAAGTATAGTTCCGGTCCCGCTCCATCACACAGCACACGGAATACATAATAATGTGTCCACGCATTATCCCTGTTATAAATACAGCGTGCCAGACAAAGTCTGGCAATGGCTGATCCCGCTCCACACAACATGCAACACGGAACATGCGTGCACGCGTTGTTACTGTTACCGCGTGCCAGACTACACAGTACATGTAAGTCTGGCACCAATACCATGAGCATACAATAACATGCGGTAGTAGACTAGTCTGGTTGCAATGGCGTCTCGCCGTTGTACAAAATTCTCTCGTTTCGCCTCTGTACCCTGACCTATAAAAATACTTTGCGGAAAGGTGCAGAAAGCTCTTAATCATTTCTTTTTATACCACTGTTTAAATAAAAGTCTGAACTTTCTGGGTACGAGCGGGCCAGTCCGTGCCATTTTTATTGATAAAGTTATGATAAAAACAGTTCAATTTATCAAGTAGATTTTAATTTTACACGGTGGTTTAAATGAAAGTGCCGGCTCACGCGGTAATGTTTGGGACATCTGTCGTGACTGTCGATATAGAAAGCGCGAGTTAAGAATTCGTTTTTTTTCCATCCAAATGAATGCAAAGTTCTGAATTAATGTTTTTGATAATAGAGTCAGTATTCCTCTTAGTATCAGGATACTTTTATGTTTTTTTAGAGTCATTTTGATAAGGGAATAAATGTGTGCTTCGGAGGTTTTTATCACTCTGTTTAAGACCACTTAGAGTCTGGGTGCTGATAATTACCCGAACCGGAGGCGAGGGTAATTATCAGCACCCAGACTCTAAGTGGTCTTAAACAGAGTGATAAATACCGACGGAGCACATATTTATTCCCATTCATAAATACCTTTTCGGTAAAAAAAAAATCATATAATTCGTTCAAAACATCCCGATTTTGTTCAACAAATCCACTTTATGCTTTATGAAACATCCCTCTTGCAAAATAATGGAGTATTTAGCTGGCGAGTAAGATGTAAACAACCCTTTTATGGAGATTGACGCGCGCGTATCATGTTCTGTGCGATGTCGCGCAGAACGCACCTGGCGCGTTGCGTTTTGAATTTAGAACTACAAAATTCTGACTCCCTGGTAGTGTTGCGCATGCCTACGTGAGGATTGTGAACGTTCAACCAATGAAACGATAAGAGGCACTGGATTTTTAGGAGTCCACATTTTATTGTGACACTGGAAAAGTGTTTAAGACCAGCTAGCCATGTCTTTATCATCCGTTTAAGGCCGGCCACGTGACGGGCTCTCGACCAATAGGAATGCGTAAACTGTCTGAGGTATTTATGAATACTTATTAGCACAGTTTGAAATTGACTAATTTTGCGTGGTTACAGATATATGGCCCCAAACCGGTGGACTCCCTATTACCAGTCACAATTATTCTTGGTGCGACATATTTGTTTAAATATGAAATATATTTCTTTGGGTTTGGGTTGCGCTTTTTTGGACTCACCCTGTATGAATGCTGTACCGTTAGTATTCTGTACATGCATTTCTCTTTGTTAATACTGCGTCCCTAACTTGACCCCAGTTATTCAGTTGAGGTTACGGGCCATCGATTATTTTGTGCGATGGGAATGTCTCACACAAAAACCTATACCTGAAAAAAACATGGCATCGGTAGATTATAATCATCCAATGTGCTATATTGGAGTCATTGGGTGCCACTTGAGCTGGCAGGCCTTCACTGGCATCTTGACGGTGAAAAGAACTATTCAACTTGAATAAGACGTCAATTTTATTAATTGCTTGTGAGAACAATTTACTTATAGGCTAGGCCTTCAAATCAATAATATCAAAAAGGCATAACTTTTGAATGTTATCGAAATTCTGGTGTTGTTTCGTTGCCCACTGCGGAAACTTCACTAGAACATGTTCTTGACACACAGACCCAGAATTTTCGCGCACCCTGTACAAAAGAGTTTCCATTTGACCCTATCTAAAGAAGGGGACGTCGATTTCAATACTATTACCAAGCTTAATTTAAGTTTAGCAAAAGACTGATAACTGTTTGACCATAAATAATCGGTTTTAAACCTTCAAGTCGGGAAACAAAGTGAAATACTTACCCACGATATTGATAGCACCGTTGATGATGGCCACCATCCACCCAATTACCCAGGTTTCTGTGGCGAACTGTTCCACGAGGGTAGGCAGCATGACTCCGAGGGCTTTCAAGATACCTGCCCACAATATGCAGTTGACATGCAGGCAGAGGACTGCGACCCAGCCCGGCCCAGAAAATTCAGCTTTTCCTTGCGACATAACGATGCTGTATGGCCTTGCTGTTAATGTTTAGACCAAATGATGGTGGCAAACTCTCGATGGCGCAGTGCATTGAGAACTATGCGTACAACTCAGGGTCATGAACTTATAATGACATGTAGTGAAGTTTTACCTTCTTCCATGGTTCGATTTTTATTATAATATTGTTTTCCATTGCTTGCTAATGTCCTTTCATTACTTACTAATGTCCAGCCTTGTCATTGTGAAACATTAAAGTCTTCATTTAAGTCGCTATTTTGTACCAGGTTATACATCGGGCTAACCCCATCCTTTTTTGTGTTGTGTTGTTTTGAATATGTAAAGGGTCTAGCTCCCACCGTTCTAACACAGTTCGCTTACGTAACTTGTCCATTGCTTCAATGAATTGCCGTGGCCTAGCTGACCGCTCCAATAGGAGAGATGTCTTGCTTTTTTTTTTTTTTTAGGTCTAAGCATGATTCCATCTATTGTCTGCAAGACATCCACTGTGCAGATTCCATGGAAGACAGGTATAGGGCCGAGTGGGGGCTGGACTGTTACTTCTGTTCTCATAAAAGTAATGCCAGAGGTGCGGCTATTCTTTTTAACAATACGTTTGATTTTAAAAATTCTTAGTTCCAATAATGATGTAAATGGAAATGTTTTGGTT